GTCCTGTTGGGTGGGTCAGGTTATGGGTCATATGGTCCTTTTGGGTGGGTCATGTTATGGGTCATGTGGTCACTTGTTGGGTGGGTCATGGGGTCAACTGTTGGGTGGGTCATGTTATGGGTCATGTGGTCAACTGTTGGGTGGGTCAGGTTATGGGTCATATGGTCCTGTTGGGTGGGTCAGGTTATGGGTCATATGGTCCTGTTGTGTCGGTCATGGGGGCCTGTTGGGTGGGTCATGTTATGGGTCATGTGGTCACTTTTTGGGTGGGTCATGGGGTCAACTGTTGGGTGGGTCATTTTATGTGTCATGTGGTCCTGTTCGGTGGGTAGTGTGGTCCTGAGGAAAAACTGAGTTTTGCAATTATGTCCGTGAGTGTATGTATGTCTTTGAACACAATAACTTGAGTAAAAATTGATGAACTATTACATCAAATTTGTAGTTCTTTGTCAACTTTTCAGCGATTCCGTTAACCGAAAGTGGGACTTATTCTACTATTAGTTTTTCAAAAGCCTATAACTTGTGTACTGTTCCAGATAGATAAACGAAATTTCTCACATGAGTAAACAATCTAAATTTCTGCCTTCGTGTAAATTTTGAGTAATTTACGTTAATCCGAGGAAGATATTTAAGATGGTGCCCGATCAAAAAAAACAACCTGGACATAAGTGTAGAATGTACTACATTCCCATGTAGACCATACCAAAGGTGTAGAATGTACTACATTCCCATGTAGACTAATCCAAAGGTGTAGAATGTACTACATTCCCATGTAGACTAATCCAAAGGTGTAGAATGTACTACATTTCCATGTAGACTAATCCAAAGGCGTAGAATGTACTACATTCCCATTTAGACTACTCCAAAGGCGTAGAATGTACTACATTCCCATGTAGACTAATCCAAAGGCGTAGAATGTACTACATTCCCATTTAGACTACTCCAAAGGCGTAGAATGTACTACATTCCCATGTAGACTAATCCAAAGGTGTAGAATGTACTACATTTCCATGTAGACTAATCCAAAGGCGTAGAATGTACTACATTCCCATTTAGACTACTCCAAAGGCGTAGAATGTACTACATTCCCATGTAGACTAATCCAAAGGCGTAGAATGTACTACATTCCCATTTAGACTACTCCAAAGGCGTAGAATGTACTACATTCCCATGTAGACTAATCCAAAGGCGTAGAATGTACTACATTCCCATTTAGACTACTCCAAAGGCGTAGAATGTACTACATTCCCATGTAGACTAATCCAAAGGCATAGAATGTACTACATTCCCATTTAGACTACTCCAAAGGCGTAGAATGTACTACATTCCCATGTAGACTAATCCAAAGGCGTAGAATGTACTACATTCCCATTTAGACTACTCCAAAGGCGTAGAATGTACTACATTCCCATGTAGACTAATCCAAAGGCGTAGAATGTACTACATTCCCATTTAGACTACTTCAAAGGCGTAAAATGTATTACATTCCCATGTAGACTACTCCAAAAGCGTATATTGTACTACATTCCCATGTAGACCAAACGTTCTAGAGCTAGACCATCTTTCCACACGATCTATATCGCGTGTCTCTAGTGAAAGGCTTTTTTTTTTACAGATTCTTAACGGATCTGTTGTTTTTATTTTATTTTTGTATTTTTAAATTAGATTTTTACTAAAGCCTATTTAAATTTATATGTATCCCATTTCCAGCAACGATAAAATTGAACGGTGTGTCTGTGTGTCTGTGTGTGTGTGTGTGCTTGTTTCTGAGTGTTTTGTCATTTAGTCTAAAACGTGATATTCGCGCTACCATTGTATAAACGTATATTCAACTGGCCTGCACAGCTTATAACGGCTATTGGTCAACTCCCGACGGACTGCTGAAAGGCCCCATCAAACAGCCCAGCCTGGAGTCGTTCACAGACTTTGTGACGTCATGCTCCTCTCTCCGGGCTTGCCGCACCTGTACCTCGCCCTCCCCAACCCTCTCCATTTTCATTGAAGATTTGCTAAGGCCAGTCGACTTCGTCATCAACGCCAGTCTGACAATCAAAGGCGTGACAGTCTACAGGTACCAACTGGACACAGGTCAGTGGTGGGTGTCACATGTCAGCGGTGGTTGTCAAATGTCAGTGGTGGTTGTCAAATGTCAGCGGTGGTTGTCATATGGCAGTGGTGGTTGTCAAATGTCAGTGGTGGTTGTCAAATGTCAGCGGTGATTGTCACATGTCAGCGGTGGTTGTCACATGTCAGTGGTGGTTGTCACATGTCAGTGGTGGTTGTCATTTGCTAGTAAGGGTTGTCACGGGCTAGTGTGGGTTGTCACGTGTTAGTTTGGGCTGTCACGGGTTAGTTAGGGTTGTCCACAGGTTGTCCACAGTTTAGCTAGGCAAACAAACCTTAGAAGCAGCACTAAACACTCATATAATAGTTTTTAAAACAATAATTCCCACAAACCCCCAGCTCCTTGAGATATCAAAACAAACGTCTGACAGCTGTTGGGCTGTGGTGTGTCCAGGTTTCCATGACAACCAAGGCGTGTTGTAATTTTTGCTACGTCAGAAACAGCGCTAAGGTTATAACACTACTGCCTCTAGTTATAACACTACTATCACTAGTTATACCACTACTATCACTATTTATACAACTATCACAAGTTATACCACTAATACCTCTAGCTATAACACTACTACCTCTAGCTATAACACTACTACCTCTAGCTATAACACTACTGCCTCTAGCTATAACAATACTACCTCTAGCTATAACACTACTACCTCTAGCTATAACACTACTGCCGCTAGCTATAACACTACTGCCGCTAGCTATAACATTACTATCACTAGCTATAAGGCTACTAACTCTAGTTATCAGAGCCATCATGGTTTTAGGTATAGATGGGGGGGGGGGGGGACGATTAGAGGCGCCGAATTTTAAACAGTAAATATATATATATATATATATATATATATATATATATATATATATATATATATATATATATATATATATATATATATATATATATATATATATATATATATATATATATGTATATGTATATGTATATATATATATATATGTATATATATATGTATATATATATATATATATATATATATGTATATATATATATATATGTATATATATATATGTATATATATATATATATAAATATATGTATATATGTATATATATATATATATATATATATATATATATATATATATATATATATATATATATATATATATATATATATATATATATATATATATATATGTATATATATATGTATATATATATGTATATATATATATATATATATATATATATATATATATATATATATATATATATATATATATATATGTGACGAGCGAACATTTATCCTGCCGACAACGCCAATTGTAACGAGCCAACAGTTACCCTGCTCGCAGCGCCAATTGTGACGAGCGAACATTTATCCTGCCGACAACGCCAATTGTAACGAGCCAACAGTTACCATGCTCGCAACGCCACATGTAATGAGACCTAATTGCCTGTAGTGCCACGTGTTAACGAGTTTAACCACTCATTCTAGACAACATTGACCACAGTATAGATACTCAAGATGCAGGTTCGCTATTGATCCTTTATTACATGAATCAAGAAATGCTTCATAATAACACAATAAATCAACAGGAATGCTTCTCAATAATAGTCTGAATCAACTGACCCCTAACAGTCCTTCACTAGGCTTCATATAACTGAATCCACATGTCTATAATCCTCCTTAACACAATACGGCTAACCCGTTCTATAACCGACTTGACATAGTCACATGAGACTGATCTAAGCGAGCGATGAAAGAGGCAAGAGGGGAAAAGGGTCGAGCTCCGCCGTCCCCCCCTATTTATCCCCCTCATTGTTGCCGGTATCCTCCCCTTGCGTATCGCGGTTGTTCTGTTGATGGTGATATGGTTCCGGAATGGGTATGTGAATTTCCGTTATAACTTCCGGTTCCCTAATTGTCTTGGGTTTCTCTGTGTGTAACTGCTCTTCTTGCCTATTCCAATATTTCTTTAATTGAGCAATATTCGCCCACCGATCCGGTTTGGCGTGATCGATGGGTCTTATCTTAAAGGGGCCACCTGCTGCTTTAGGCATCTCCACGACTTGCCATATCTCCTGTCCCCAGAGATCGTGGATTTTGTTTCTGCCTAACGGGTGGCTACGCAGTAATACCCTGTCATTCAGTTTGAGTGGCGGGTCCTTCGTCTGTATCGGCGGTTCCCTTCGCCGAGATTCATGTTCTAGTCTTTCCTGTACTACCCTGTACATTTCTCTAATTCTTCTCATATGTTCATTCACATATTCCAGTGCGGTGTATGAGCCAGTCATACTCTCCCTTTTTCCTAGGAACAAATCAAGAGGGAGTCGAGCCTCTCGTCCGAACAGCAACATGTATGGCGTAAAGCCGGTTGTGGCATGGGGTGTGCAGTTGTATAGATATACCAACTCTGGGAGAAAATCAGGCCAACGTTTTTTCTGTTCAGGTTCTAGCGTACGCAGCAAATCATGCATGCTGCGGTTGAACCGTTCACACTGTCCGTTTCCCTTCGGATTAAATGTGGTTGTTCTAGATTTGTTGATCCCGTAGTGGCTGCACAGTTGGTTAATTACTTCTGACTCGAAAGCCCTTCCTTGGTCAGAGTGTAATTGTCTTGGTATGCCATATTTGATGAACCAATGTTCTATTAATACCTTTGCCACTGTTTTGGCAGTCTGATCTCTTATCTTTTTGTGATTAAGGCAAATAAAATCACTACTGTCCATATGTTCGGGTTCCGTGGATATGTGCTCCACCCCGGTCTGCCCGTTCTGCATCACTTGTACCCCATGAGGGATATCTGTTGACGCTCTGACCTCACATATTCCTGTCAGTGTTTCCTCCTCATCACCCGGTCTCTCGTAAGGATTCCTTGACAAGGCGTCCGCATTGCCATTGGACCGCCCCGGGCGATACTTTATCTCTAGGTCAAAGAGTGCCAATTCTGCTGCCCATCGCTGTTCGATGGATCCCAACTTTGCTGTCTTTAGGTGACTCAAGGGGTTATTGTCAGTGTATACCACACATTTAGCACCTAATAGATAGTCCCTGAATTTCTCAGTCACAGCCCATTTTAATGTCAAAAGTTCTAGTTTCATGGCGCTGTAATTTGTCATGTTTCTCTCTGATCCCTTCAGAGCTCGACTGGCATACGCAATAACCCTGAAACCTTGCTTTTGTTGTTGTGATAGCACAGCTCCCAGACCTTTAGAGCTGGCGTCGATTTCTAACCGAAATGGTTTGTCAAAGTCCGCGTATCCCAATATCGGTGCCTCTGTCAAAGCCTTTTTCAAGAGCTTAAACGAGTTCAGGCATTCATCAGTCCATAATTCACCTATCAGTTGTGTTTTACCTTTCTTTTTCTCCTTACTGTGTTTCTTTGTCATTTTGTTTACCAAGTCATGCAATGGTGCGGCAATTTTTGCAAAACCCGGCACAAATTTTCTATAATAGGAAGCAAAGCCCAAGAATGACCTGACCTCTACCGTAGTTGTTGGTTGTTTCCATTCTTTAACAGCTGCAATTTTATCTGGGTCAGTGGCGATGCCATCCGACGAAATCACGTAACCCAAAAAATGTACCGATTTCAAACCAAAGCAGCATTTGTCTGGGTTCAGCTTTACTCCTATCTCCCTAAGACGGAGAAACACTTGTTCTAATCTTTTTAGATGGTCCTCCCAAGTTTTTGAGTAAACTAGAATATCATCCAAATACACCAACATTATTTGAAATAGAAAGTCACTCATAGCACTCTGCATTACTCGCTGGAATGTAGCAGGTGCATTAGTTAGACCAAACGGCATACGGGTCCACTCGTACAGTCCCAGTGGAGAAATAAATGCAGTTTTATGTTGATCGTTGGGGTGCATGGCCACTTGGTGGTAGCCACTGGCCAAATCCAAGGTAGAAAAAAAATCTTGCTCCCCCCAACGCATCAAGACATTCATCAATACGAGGCAAGGGGAATGCATCCCTTCTTGTGATATTGTTCAATTTCCGGTAATCACAACACAGTCTTATCTCCCCTGACTTCTTTTTTACCACTACAATCGGTGCCGCATACGGGCTTGTACTAGTTGTAATAATTCCCTTTTCTAGTAGATCATTCAGGTGTGCCTTCACCGCCGAGTAGTGACTCGGTGGTAATCTTCGATAAGGTTGCGCCACCGGCTTGTCTTGTAGTAAGGGTATCTGGTGTTTGATTACTTCCGTGTACCCCAAATCACCCTCATACGAGGCAAATACATCCCTGTATTTATTCAGTAATTCATTTAATTTTGGGTCTTCAGTTTCCGGGAATATATATGATCGGCCACCCTTTTTCTTCACCTCGGCCGTCACATTGACCGACCTAATTGTTACTTCATTACTACTGGTATTGATCAGTTCGATGCACTGTGCCGACCTTTGTACCTCGACGTTCTGTGGTACTCCTACCAGAGTGTTAGGCGGTATAAAAATTTCCTCATCCAAAACATTAGCTACCAACCCTTGAACTAGTCCGTTTTCCGCTGATGTGTATGTCCGCAGTAACACGACGCCTGCCCTCAGTGCGGCGCCACATGGTTCTATCATCACATCACCATTCACGCTTCTATCACCAATTTGTAATGTGATTGCCTTGACCGTGTTTGCCGGGACTGCTGTCCTTCCTCTGGTCTTGGCAAACCTGGCCAACTTGGATCCCCGACCTGGTGTGGTCGATCCGACAATATTTGTAAGAAATTCTGGCAACTGGCCAAGAATATTCATGCCCAACAGGCAAGGTATATTTGACACATTTGTCTCTAGGTTGTGTTTCGTAACGAACACCCCAACCTGCTTCAACCTATGTCCTGCCACCACGACATCCGCCAGAAAATAACCACAGTATGGAATGGTTAGTCCATTAGCTGCCGTTAGGCGCATGCCTGTGTCAGACCTCAACCTATGGTCTTTTCCTTTCATCCATTTGGTGTAAAAATTTTCCGTAATTGTCGTCACCTGGGAGCCTGTATCCACAATTGCCTTCACCGCGATGTCCCCAATCGTAATCACCATTTCGGGACAGACTCCCATCATTTTGCTTCTTGGGCCATAACCTCGCCCCTCTGTAGCCTGGCCCTGCCTTACAGAGGACGACCGTTTCCCTGGCAGTACCGTGCCATATGTCCGGGTTGTGAACAAGACAAACAAATTGGTCGACCGTCTGCCGTCCATTGGAGTGATGGCTTGGCAGGACGCGGCCGTCCAACCCGTCCCTGTTTTGTACCGTTCTTTTCCTGATTCTCAGCTGTTGACCTGCTTTCCAACCACTTCAAGCGTTGGTCAACCTTCTCTAGGTGGGCCAACAGTTGAGCCATCATGGTCTCCATCGTGTCGGCCCCTGTGGGTGGGGATTGTCTCTGTTCAGGCACAGAGACTTTGTCCACCGAACAGTTCGATTGGTCCTCATCCTCGGACCTGCGGATCGCTGAGTTCCTGACCTGAAGGAAGGTCAACTGCTGGTCTCTGTGGACCTCCTCTTTCAACTCTCTCCTTAAGATCGGGGTTGCTAGCCCCTCGATGAAATGGTCCCTCAGTAGGCGTACATCAATGTCCGGTGATTTGCCCTTTACCAAATCAAAGGCCCTGTTCATCCTGTGTGAGTACTCCATCACCCTCTCCGCCATTCTCTGCTTTAAGCCCACGAATCCCGATAGCAGTTGCACTCCCGACCGTCTCTCCCCAAAGGTCTCCATAATCAGATCTAGCACCTTATCTGGATCTGATTGGACGGTCCTATCGTGGCACTTAACCTCTGCCCTAACCGTTTCACCTATACTGCCCATCAGCAGTCTTAATCTTTCCTCTGGTGACATATGTCTCGAGGCCCAGGCCGCTTTGACCTCTTCACTGAACCTGTTGGTTAAAGTTGGATCTCCGTCCCCGTAAAATTTGTTAATATGGGACTCTCTGGGTAGGACCACTATATGGGTCTGCTTCTCGTCCAGAGTAGACATTTTCTTCCTTAAGTACTAAAAAAAAGAGTTCTTTCTTACCGTGTGTGTATGAAAAATTTTTCCTCGTTCCTCAATTTTCACAGTTCCTGAATGTCCGAATTCACACACACACTAAACACAGTTATGCACAAGGTTGACTATAGGTGCCTTAAACGGCAAGTCTAGTTGAATTCATCCTGATCGCAGCGCCAATTGTGACGAGCGAACATTTATCCTGCCGACAACGCCAATTGTAACGAGCCAACAGTTACCCTGCTCGCAGCGCCAATTGTGACGAGCGAACATTTATCCTGCCGACAACGCCAATTGTAACGAGCCAACAGTTACCATGCTCGCAACGCCACATGTAATGAGACCTAATTGCCTGTAGTGCCACGTGTTAACGAGTTTAACCACTCATTCTAGACAACATTGACCACAGTATAGATACTCAAGATGCAGGTTCGCTATTGATCCTTTATTACATGAATCAAGAAATGCTTCATAATAACACAATAAATCAACAGGAATGCTTCTCAATAATAGTCTGAATCAACTGACCCCTAACAGTCCTTCACTAGGCTTCATATAACTGAATCCACATGTCTATAATCCTCCTTAACACAATACGGCTAACCCGTTCTATAACCGACTTGACATAGTCACATGAGACTGATCTAAGCGAGCGATGAAAGAGGCAAGAGGGGAAAAGGGTCGAGCTCCGCCGTCCCCCCCTATTTATCCCCTGAAATCGTAGTCGTACTTGTATCCATTTCCGTAATCGATACTTGTAATCGATGTCTCCGAATACTAGTTGCGCAGTTCTACGTACAGTCCGACTAATAAAACACCTGCATCCTATCCATCAAAGTTGACAGGCCGTCTGAATCCCCCTGTACCGTTTCCCAAAATAGCACGCGTTGGCTTTGAGATTGTTATCAGCCCGACCCAATAAGCCACCTGTTATCGGTTGCATCAGACTGAAATACTGCGTCTCGGCTTCTCGTTCGTTATCAGATTTGTAACTAGTAGCTAGAACCACCCTAGTTACATATATATATATATATGTATATATATATATGTATATATATATGTATGTATATATGTATATATATATATATATATATATATATATATATATATATACATATATATATATATATATATACAGAGGTTTAGCGAGGTAGGGGCGGAGGGGGGGTGCGGACCGCACCGGGCGACACCATTTAGGGGGGGGGGGGCGACACCAAGGCAAAAAATAGCAACATTTTTACAGAAAAAATATAATTCCACTTAATTAAGTGATTAATTAGTGTAAAATATTCTTTAAAAAGAGCAAATTGGAAAAATCCCGACAAGGGTGAAAGGGGGGGGGGGGGCGGTGACACCATGACCTAAACCTGATAATGATAGAGAAAACATGCTACATCAAGCTGTATTTATAACCGACTATAGATAAAAATCGTTAGTATTAATATCTGAGCACAGTTTGGAATCGTAATAACTTATATGTTAATCCATGTAAGGGGGGGGGGGGGTAGGGGTTGGAGGTAAACAGATTAAATACATAAAAAATATATATGAATACATATACACATGCGTATATACATTCTTACTTTATATAGCCCTGACGATTCTACAACATAGTCTTTTTTCCACTGTAAGCGTGAGCACAGCAGTTGGCCATAGCACCAGAATCAGTTCGTAGAATTGAATCATGTCTTTTATGTCTATATGTAAAGTCGCACATAAGTCAGACCAAATAATTGATCCATTCAGCTTAGATCGATGGTCGAATCTAGTCATGACCAAACACTTAGCTATTTTAATAACAATGTGCCTAAATTTCTTTTAGTTTTTTTTTCTACCGCGTAAATAGGTAACAAAGGTTAAGGTTGCTGTGTAAATTATCTTATAGTATTTTTACTATATTTTTACGACACGTGTGTCGTCATACAGTTGATGTGTGACACGTGTGTCGTCATACGGTTAGTGTCAGACACGTGTGTCGTCATACAATTGGTGTCAGGCACGTGTGTCGTCATACAGTTGGTGTGTGACACGTGTGTCGTCATACAGTTGGTGTGTGACACGTGTGTCGTCATACGGTAAATATGACACACGTGTTTCGCTTATCATTGCAGAAACGTTGAGTGCCTCCGATGTTTACCTTGTGAGCCGTGGATTACAAGACGTGTCTGGGGTAGCGGGCTTCATGCTGTGGGTAGGGGTGCCTTACAACGCTGGGACTTCTCATGTAAGAACAATTTGACAAATGTTACGTTCAGTAACTGTGTTTTTCATTTTTCTTTTGTTTTTATGTGAGTTTGTATCACTTACACATGTTTGTATGTTGAGTTTGTATCACGTAGACATGTTTGTATGATGGGCTTGTTTCACGTAGACATGTTTGTATGATGGGCTTGTTTCACGTAGACATGTTTGTATGATGGGCTTGTTTCACGTAGACATGTTTGTATGATGGGCTTGTTTCACGTAGACATGTTTGTATGATGGGCTTGTTTCACGTAGACATGTTTGTATGATGGGCTTGTTTCACGTAGACATGTTTGTATGATGGGCTTGTTTCACGTAGACATGTTTGTATGTTGGGCTTGTTTCACGTAGACATGTTTGTATGATGGGCTTGTTTCACGTAGACATGTTTGTATGATGGGCTTGTTTCACGTAGACATGTTTGTATGATGGGCTTGTTTCACGTAGACATGTTTGTATGATGGGCTTGTTTCACGTAGACATGTTTGTATGATGGGCTTGTTTCACGTAGACATGTTTGTATGATGGGCTTGTTTCACGTAGACATGTTTGTATGATGGGCTTGTCTCACGTAGACATGTTTGTATGTTGGGCTTGTTTCACGTAGACATGTTTGTATGTTGGGCTTGTTTCACGTAGACATGTTTGTATGTTGCAGGTGACGATTGAGCCGGTGACAGGGCGGGTCTGGGACCGACGCCTTACGCTGGAATGGAGTGTTGGAATCCACCGCGAGACTGCTATCTCGCACCGCCGCAACATTTCTGTAGTGGAACAGCCACTTCCGGTGTTCTGGTGCGAGCGGTCCTCCACCATAAGCCCTGGCGAGATTGAGGTCTACAAGCAGCTGGTAAATAATTGCAGCTAGTCTCCTCTAGTAATCTGGCGAGACGGTTCGGAATCTCTAGTCACCTTAGTTTGTTATGCTCTAGTCATTAGAGTTTGTAATGTTCTAGTCATTAGAGTTTGTAATGCTCTAGTCATTAGAGTTTGTAATGTTCTAGTCATTAGTTTGTTATGCTCTAGTCATTAGAGTTTGTAATGCTCTAGTCATTAGTTTGTAATGCTCTAGTCATTAGAGATTGTAATGCTCTAGTCATTAGAGTTTGTAATGCTCTAGTCACCTTAGTTTGTTATGCTCTAGTCATTAGAGTTTGTAATGCTCTAGTCATTAGAGTTTGTAATGCTCTAGTCATTAGAGTTTGTAATGCTCTAGTCACCTTAGTTTGTTATGCTCTAGTCATTAGTTTGTAATGCTCTAGTCATTAGAGTTTGTAATGCTCTAGTCATTAGAGTTTGTAATGCTCTAGTCATTAGAGTTTGTAATGCTCTAGTCACCTTAGTTTGTAATGCTCTAGTCATTAGAGTTTGTAATGCTCTAGTCATTAGAGTTTGTTATGCTCTAGTCATTAGAGTTTGTAATGCTCTAGTCATTAGAGTTTGTAATGCTCTAGTCATTAGAGTTTGTAATGCTCTAGTCATTAGAGTTTGTAATGCTCTAGTCATTAGTTTGTAATGCTCTAGTCCCTAGAGTTTGTAATGCTCTAGTCGTTAGAGTTTGTAATGCTCTAGTCATTAGAGTTTGTAATGCTCTAGTCATTAGAGTTTGTAATGCTCTAGTCATTAGAGTTTGTAATGCTCTAGTCGTTAGAGTTTGTTATGCTCTAGTCATTAGAGTTTGTAATGCTCTAGTCATTAGAGTTTGTAATGCTCTAGTCGTTAGAGTTTGTAATGCTCTAGTCATTAGAGTTTGTAATGCTCTAGTCATTAGAGTTTGTAATGTTCTAGTCATTAGTTTGTAATGCTCTAGTCCCTAGAGTTTGTAATGCTCTAGTCATTAGAGTTTGTAATGCTCTAGTCATTAGAGTTTGTAATGCTCTAGTCATTAGAGTTTGTAATGCTCTAGTCATTAGAGTTTGTAATGCTCTAGTCATTAGAGTTTGTAATGTTCTAGTCATTAGTTTGTTATGCTCTAGTCCCTAGAGTTTGTAATGCTCTAGTCATTAGAGTTTGTAATGCTCTAGTCATTAGAGTTTGTAATGCTCTAGTCATTAGAGTTTGTAATGCTCTAGTCATTAGAGTTTGTAATGCTCTAGTCATTAGTTTGTTATGCTCTAGTCCCTAGAGTTTGTAATGCTCTAGTCATTAGAGTTTGTAATGTTCTAGTCATTAGTTTGTTATGCTCTAGTCCCTAGAGTTTGTAATGCTCTAGTCATTAGAGTTTGTAATGCTCTAGTCATTAGAGTTTGTAATGCTCTAGTCATTAGAGTTTGTAATGCTCTAGTCACCTTAGTTTGTTATGCTCTAGTCATTAGAGTTTGTAATGCTCTAGTCATTAGAGTTTGTAATGCTCTAGTCATTAGAGTTTGTTATGCTCTAGTCATTAGAGTTTGTAATGCTCTAGTCATTAGAGTTTGTAATGCTCTAGTCATTAGAGTTTGTAATGCTCTAGTCATTAGAGTTTGTAATGCTCTAGTCATTAGAGTTTGTAATGTTCTAGTCATTAGAGTTTGTAATGCTCTAGTCATTAGAGTTTGTAATGCTCTAGTCATTAGAGTTTGTAATGCTCTAGTCGTTAGAGTTTGTAATGCTCTAGTCATTAGAGTTTGTAATGCTCTAGTCATTAGTTTGTAATGCTCTAGTCGTTAGAGTTTGTAATGCTCTAGTCGTTAGAGTTTGTAATGCTCTAGTCATTAGAGTTTGTAATGCTCTAGTCATTAGAGTTTGTAATGCTCTAGTCGTTAGAGTTTGTAATGCTCTAGTCATTAGAGTTTGTAATGCTCTAGTCATTAGAGTTTGTAATGTTCTAGTCATTAGAGTTTGTAATGCTCTAGTTATTAGTTTGTAATGCTCTAGTCCCTAGAGTTTGTAATGCTCTAGTCGTTAGAGTTTGTAATGCTCTAGTCCCTAGAGTTTGTAATGCTCTAGTCATTAGAGTTTGTAATGTTCTAGTCATTAGTTTGTAATGCTCTAGTCCCTAGAGTTTGTAATGCTCTAGTCGTTAGAGTTTGTAATGCTCTAGTCATTAGAGTTTGTAATGCTCTAGTCATTAGAGTTTGTAATGCTCTAGTCATTAGAGTTTGTAATGTTCTAGTCATTAGTTTGTAATGCTCTAGTCCCTAGAGTTTGTAATGCTCTAGTCGTTAGAGTTTGTAATGCTCTAGTCATTAGAGTTTGTAATGCTCTAGTCATTAGAGTTTGTAATGCTCTAGTCATTAGAGTTTGTAATGCTCTAGTCATTAGAGTTTGTAATGCTCTAGTCGTTAGAGTTTGTTATGATCTAGTCATTAGAGTTTGTAATGCTCTAGTCATTAGAGTTTGTAATGCTCTAGTCATTAGAGTTTGTAATGCTCTAGTCATTAGAGTTTGTAATGCTCTAGTCATTAGAGTTTGTAATGCTCTAGTCATTAGAGTTTGTAATGCTCTAGTCATTAGAGTTTGTTATGCTCTAGTCATTAGAGTTTGTAATGCTCTAGTCGTTAGAGTTTGTAATGCTCTAGTCATTAGAGTTTGTAATGCTCTAGTCATTAGAGTTTGTAATGCTCTAGTCGTTAGAGTTTGTAATGCTCTAGTCATTAGAGTTTGTAATGCTCTAGTCATTAGAGTTTGTAATGCTCTAGTCATTAGAGTTTGTAATGCTCTAGTCACCTTAGTTTGTTATGCTCTAGTCATTAGAGTTTGTAATGCTCTAGTCATTAGAGTTTGTAATGCTCTAGTCATTAGAGTTTGTTATGCTCTAGTCATTAGAGTTTGTAATGCTCTAGTCGTTAGAGTTTGTAATGCTCTAGTCATTAGAGTTTGTAATGCTCTAGTCATTAGAGTTTGTAATGCTCTAGTCATTAGAGTTTGTAATGCTCTAGTCATTAGAGTTTGTAATGCTCTAGTCATTAGAGTTTGTAATGCTCTAGTCATTAGAGTTTGTAATGCTCTAGTTATTAGAGTTTGTAATGCTCTAGTCACCTTAGTTTGTTATGCTCTAGTCATTAGAGTTTGTTATGCTCTAGTCATTAGAGTTTGTAATGCTCTAGTCACCTTAGTTTGTTATGCTCTAGTCATTAGAGTTTGTAATGCTCTAGTCATTAGAGTTTGTAATGCTCTAGTCATTAGAGTTTGTAATGCTCTAGTCGTTAGAGTTTGTAATGCTCTAGTCGTTAGAGTTTGTAATGCTCTAGTCATTAGAGTTTGTAATGCTCTAGTCATTAGAGTTTGTAATGCTCTAGTCGTTAGAGTTTGTAATGCTCTAGTCATTAGAGTTTGTAATGCTCTAGTCGTTAGAGTTTGTAATGCTCTAGTCATTAGAGTTTGTAATGCTCTAGTCATTAGAGTTTGTAATGCTCTAGTCATTAGAGTTTGTAATGTTCTAGTCATTAGAGTTTGTAATGCTCTAGTCATTAGAGTTTGTAATGCTCTAGTCATTAGAGTTTGTAATGCTCTAGTCACCTTAGTTTGTAATGCTCTAGTCATTAGAGTTTGTAATGCTCTAGTCATTAGAGTTTGTAATGCTCTAGTCATTAGAGTTTGTAATGCTCTAGTCATTAGAGTTTGTAATGCTCTAGTCGTTAGAGTTTGTAATGCTCTAGTCATTAGAGTTTGTAATGCTCTAGTCATTAGAGTTTGTAATGCTCTAGTCATTAGAGTTTGTAATGCTCTAGTCATTAGAGTTTGTAATGCTCTAGTCATTAGAGTTTGTAATGCTCTAGTCATTAGAGTTTGTAATGCTCTAGTCATTAGAGTTTGTAATGCTCTAGTCATTAGAGTTTGTAATGCTCTAGTTATTAGAGTTTGTAATGCTCTAGTTATTAGAGTTTGTAATGCCCTAGTTATTAGAGTTTGTAATGCTCTAGTCATTAGAGTTTGTAATGCCCTAGTTATTAGAGTTTGTAATGCTCTAGTCATTAGAGTTTGTAATGCCCTAGTTATTAGAGTTTGTAATGCTCTAGTCATTAGAGTTTGTAATGCTCTAGTCACCTTAGTTTGTTATGCTCTAGTCATTAGAGTTTGTTATGCTCTAGTCATTAGAGTTTGTAATGCTCTAGTCACCTTAGTTTGTTATGCTCTAGTCATTAGAGTTTGTAATGCTCTAGTCATTAGAGTTTGTAATGCTCTAGTCATTAGAGTTTGTAATGCTCTAGTCATTAGAGTTTGTAATGCTCTAGTCATTAGAGTTTGTAATGCTCTAGTCATTAGAGTTTGTAATGCTCTAGTCATTAGAGTTTGTAATGCTCTAGTCATTAGAGTTTGTAATGCTCTAGTCATTAGAGTTTGTAATGCTCTAGTCACCTTAGTTTGTAATGCTCTAGTCATTAGAGTTTGTAATGCTCTAGTCATTAGAGTTTGTAATGCTCTAGTCATTAGAGTTTGTAATGCTCTAGTCATTAGAGTTTGTAATGCTCTAGTCATTAGAGTTTGTAATGCTCTAGTCATTAGAGTTTGTAATGCTCTAGTCACCTTAGTTTGTAATGCTCTAGTCATTAGAGTTTGTTATGCTCTAGTCATTAGAGTTTGTAATGCTCTAGTCATTAGAGTTTGTAATGCTCTAGTCATTAGAGTTTGTAATGCTCTAGTCGTTAGAGTTTGTAATGCTCTAGTCATTAGAGTTTGTAATGCTCTAGTCACCTTAGTTTGTTATGCTCTAGTCATTAGAGTTTGTAATGTTCTAGTCATTAGAGTTTGCAATGCTCTAGTCACCTTAGTTTGTTATGCTCTAGTCATTAGAGTTTGTAATGTTCTAGTCATTAGTTTGTAATGCTCTAGTCGTTAGAGTTTGTAATGCTCTAGTCATTAGAGTTTGTAATGCTCTAGTCATTAGAGTTTGTAATGCTCTAGTCACCTTAGTTTGTAATGCTCTAGTCATTAGAGTTTGTTATGCTCTAGTCATTAGAGTTTGTAATGTTCTAGTCATTAGTTTGTAATGCTCTAGTCCCTAGAGTTTGTAATGCTCTAGTCATTAGAGTTTGTAATGCTCTAGTCATTAGAGTTTGTAATGCTCTAGTCATTAGAGATTGTAATGCTCTAGTCATTAGAGTTTGTAATGCTCTAGTCATTAGAGTTTGTAATGCTCTAGTCATTAGAGTTTGTAATGCTCTAGTCACCTTAGTTTGTTATGCTCTAGTCATTAGAGTTTGTAATGCTCTAGTCATTAGAGTTTGTAATGTTCTAGTCATTAGTTTGTAATGCTCTAGTCCCTAGAGTTTGTAATGCTCTAGTCATTAGAGTTTGTAATGCTCTAGTCATTAGAGTTTGTAATGCTCTAGTCATTAGAGATTGTAATGCTCTAGTCATTAGAGTTTGTAATGCTCTAGTCATTAGAGTTTGTAATGCTCTAGTCATTAGAGTTTGTAATCTCTCTCACAAGCATATCTGTGTGTGTTTAAATTATGGAAAAAAAAGTATCTTCAATTAAATAAACGTAAAATTAGAGACGTAGGCCTACGTTAAATCAATTATAAGGGAACAGGTAAAGTAATAAACATAAGTTGGATCAGTTGTAGAGCAACTTACAATTTTAGTCATTATTAGATCAAACAGAACATAAGTTGGATCAGTTGTAGAGCAACTTACAATTTTAGTCATTATTAGATCAAATTGAACATAAGTTGGATCAGTTGTAGAGCAACCTACAATTTTAGTCATTATTAGATCAAATAAAAGAATAAACGCTAAATACTGAAAGACATTCAAAACGAACTTTTGGTCTTAATGCACATGAAGTAGCTTTATTTCTTTGCATTCTTTGCATTCTTTGCATTCTTGTCATTCTTGTCATCCTTCATTTTTAGTGGTATTAGACAAGTGCTCTGCACTACTCTCCCTCCTTTGAACCAGTGGATATAATCGTCGTATTGGTATTGTTTCCCCCTTATTATTTCGCGTTTCACATCAATAACTAGGATAACCTTTTTTGGCAAGATACCGACTTCATCACCTATTACGGGTACGTAGTATATCTTGTACAGACTCGGTCGAACCCATGGAGTTATGTATGTGATCTTTTGATCAATAGCCAGGAGGATTTCGTCTCTTTGATAACTATCTAGCTCGAACTCTACCGGTATGCCGTTGGAGTCCACGCCAATGAACAGGGTACCATTGCATGAGTTGAGGAACGCAACAATGTGGGTAGCTGCCACATCTGCCAGAGCGCTTCAAGAAAAAAAAAAGACAGTTATAATAAAATACTTAAAAAAACTTTTTAAAAAACCACGTTTTTCTTGTGGACTAAAAAGTAGAAAATAACTATTTACATACATTTGATGACAAAAAACGTGGGTCGGGCAGATGGGTCGGGAAATTTGATGGTGAACGTACCCACGTTTTTTGTCATCAAATGTATGTAAATAGTTATTTTCTACTTTTTAGTCCACAAGAAAAACGTGGTTTTTTAAAAAGTTTTTTTAAGTATTTTATTTTCTCCTTTTTAGTCCGTTGCTACACATGAAAAACGTGGTTTTTAAAAAGTTTTTTATATAGTTTATTTTCTACTTTATCTAATCACTTGATTAAGTATGACGTGACTAAGTGTTTTTAAATACACGGACTAAAAAAATCTTGAGCGACCGATACGCTTTAAACAGAGAAAGGGTGTAATTTACGTTGCTGGCGTGGAGATCTACTCACGAATCACGTGATCAAATCTCCCATAAACAAACAAATAAACGCGAAGCTGAGTTAAGGAAAAACGTGTTTATGTGTATTTTAGCATGCCCAGCGTACCAACCGTGTCACCGTTAACAATGTGTTACCGTGTCCGTTCTCCTTTTTAGTCCGTTGCTACACATAAAAAACGTGGTTTTTTAAAAAGTTTTTTTTAAGTATTTTATTTTCTCCTTTTTAATCCGTTGCTACACATGAAAAACGTGGTTTTTAAAAAAGTGTTTATAAATACACGGACTAAAAATCTTGAGCGACCAGGATTCGAACCTGGGTTGTCGCGGCCACAACGCGAAGTACTAACCACTATACGATCACGGCCAGCGCGCTCACATCGATTGGGGCCGAAGTAACTGTGTCAATAGGTCTTCAGTCTTGTCGGTATCTTTAGAAATCATGTCCTCAATTTTATGGTCCTTGGGGCGTAATTAAATTAAGCTAATTACGGTCTCTAATTGCTAGTTTTTATGATTGCATCTGAAATTGTTAGGCGAAAGTAGCATGCATGCCAAATTTCAGGTCTCTAGAGCAATCAGAAGTGGGCTAATTTTCGATGTCAATTTTAACAACAAACAAATCCACACATCCACAAACGCGAAGCTGAGTTAAGAAAAACGTGTTAAAATGTGTTTAAGCCGCCACTACGAATGCTGACTAATTTCACCAAGGATCGGCTGGCAACAAGTTCAAGGCCGTGAATATAAATGGACTAGACTAAACGTTCAACCTTGTGAGGCCTACAGTTACATGTTTGACAACAGAAGACACGTGACAGCTACATGTTTGACAACAGAAGACACGTGACAGCTACATGTTTGACAACAACCAACACGTGACAGCTACATGTTTGACAACAGAAGACACGTGACAGCTACATGTTTGACAACAGAAGACACGTGACAGCTACATGTTTCACAACAACCAATACGTGAAAGCTACATGTTTGACAACAGAAGACACGTGACAGCTACATGTATGACAACAACCAACACGTGACATCTACATGTTTGACAACAACCAACACGTGACAGCTACATGTTTGACAACAACCAACACGTGACAGCTACATGTTTGACAACAGAAGACACGTGACAGCTACATGTTTGACAACAGAAGACACGTGACAGCTACATGTTTGACAACAACCAACACGTGACAGCTACATGTTTGACAACAACCAACACGTGACAGCTACATGTATGACAACAACCAACACGTGACATCTACATGTTTAACAACAGAAGACACGTGACAGCTACATGTTTGACAACAGAAGACACGTGACAGCTACATGTTTCACAACAGAAGACACGTGACATCTACATGTTTGACAACAACCAACACGTGACAGCTACATGTTTGACAACAGAAGACACGTGACAGCTACATGTTTGACAACAGTAGACACGTGACAGCTACATGTTTTACAACAGAAGACACGTGACAGCTACATGTTTGACAACAGAAGACACGTGACAACTACATGTTTGACAACAACCAACACGTGACATCTACATGTTTGACAACAGAAGACACGTGACATCTACATGTTTGACAACAACCAATACGTGACAGCTACATGTTTGACATCAGAAGACACGTGACAGCTAGTTGTTTTAACAACAACCAACACGTGACAGCTACATGTTTGACAACAGAAAACACGTGACATCTACATGTTTGACAACAACCAACACGTGACATCTACATGTTTGACAACAACCAATACGTGACAGCTACATGTTTTACAACAACCAACACGTGACAGCTACATGTTTGACAACAGAAGACACGTGACAGCTACATGTTTCACAACAGAAGACACGTGACAACTACATGTTTGACAACAACCAACACGTGACAGCTACATGTATGACAACAACCAATACGTGACAGCTACATGTTTGACAACAGAAGACACGTGACATCTACATGTTTGACAACAGAAGACACGTGACAGCTACATGTTTGACAACAGAAGACACGTGACAGCTACATGTTTGACAACAACCAATGCGTGACAGCTACATGTTTGACAGCAACCAACACGTGACAGCTACATGTTTGACAACAACCAATACGTGACAGCTACATGTTTGACAACAACCAACTCGTGACAGCTACATGTTTGACAACAACCAACACGTGTCAGCTACATGTTTGACAACAGAAGACACGTGACAGCTACATGTTTGACAACAACCAATTCGTTATAGCTACATGTTTGACAAGAGAAGACACGTGACAGCTACATGTTTGACAACAGTAGACACGTGACAGCTACATGTTTTACAACAACCAACACGTGACAGCTACATGTTTGACAAGAGAAGACTCGTGACAGCTACATGTTTGACAACAGAAGACACGTGACAGCTACATGTTTGACAACAACCAATACGTGACAGCTACATGTTTGACAACAGAAGACACGTGACAGCTACATGTTTAACAACAGAAGACACGTGACAGCTACATGTTTGACAACAACCAACACGTGACAGCTACATGTTTTACAACAACCAACACGTGACAGCTACATGTTTGACAACAGAAGACACGTGACAGCTACATGTTTGACAACAGAAGACACGTGACAGCTACATGTTTGACAACAGAAGACACGTGACAGCTACATGTTTGACAACAGAAGACACGTGACAGCTACATGTTTAATAACAGAAGACACGTGACAGCTACATGTTTCACAACAGAAGACACGTGACAGCTACATGTTTGACAACAGAAGACACGTGACAGCTACATGTTTCACAACAGAAGACACGTGACATCTACATGTTTGACAACAACCAACACGTGACAGCTACATGTTTGACAACAGAAGACACGTGACAGCTACATGTTTGACAACAGTAGACACGTGACAGCTACATGTTTTACAACAGAAGACACGTGACAGCTACATGTTTGACAACAGAAGACACGTGACAACTACATGTTTGACAACAACCAACACGTGACATCTACATGTTTGACAACAGAAGACACGTGACATCTACATGTTTGACAACAACCAATACGTGACAGCTACATGTTTGACATCAGAAGACACGTGACAGCTACATGTTTGACAACAACCAACACGTGACAGCTACATGTTTGACAACAGAAGACACGTGACATCTACATGTCTGACAACAACCAACACGTGACATCTACATGTTTGACAACAACCAATACGTGACAGCTACATGTTTTACAACAACCAACACGTGACAGCTACATGTTTGACAACAGAAGACACGTGACAGCTACATGTTTCACAACAGAAGACACGTGACAACTACATGTTTGACAACAACCAACACGTGACAGCTACATGTATGACAACAACCAATACGTGACAGCTACATGTTTGACAACAGAAGACACGTGACATCTACATGTTTGACAACAGAAGACACGTGACAGCTACATGTTTGACAACAGAAGACACGTGACAGCTACATGTTTGACAACAGAAGACACGTGACAGCTACATGTTTGACAACAACCAATACGTGACAGCTACATGTTTGACAACAACCAACACGTGACAGCTACATGTTTGACAACAACCAATACGTGACAGCTACATGTTTGACAACAACCAACACGTGACAGCTACATGTTTGACAACAACCAATACGTGACAGCTACATGTTTGACAACAGAAGACACGTGACAGCTACATGTTTAACAACAGAAGACACGTGACAGCTACATGTTTAACAACAGAAGACACGTGACAGCTACATGTTTGACAACAACCAATACGTGACAGCTACATGTTTGCCAACAACCAACACGTGACAGCTACATGTATGACAACAACCAATACGTGACAGCTACATGTTTGACAACAGAAGACACGTGACATCTACATGTTTGACAACAGAAGACACGTGACAGCTACATGTTTGACAACAGAAGACACGTGACAGCTACATGTTTGACAACAGAAGACACGTGACAGCTACATGTTTGACAACAACCAATACGTGACAGCTACATGTTTGACAACAACCAACACGTGACAGCTATATGTTTGACAACCAATACGTGACAGCTACATGTTTGACAACAACCAACACGTGACAGCTACATGTTTGACAACAACCAATACGTGACAGCTACATGTTTGACAACAGAAGACACGTGACAGCTACATGTTTAACAACAGAAGACACGTGACAGCTACATGTTTAACAACAGAAGACACGTGACAGCTACATGTTTGACAACAGAAGACACGTGACAGCTACATGTTTGACAACAGAAGACACGTGACAGCTACATGTTTGACAACAGAAGACACGTGACAGCTACATGTTTGACAACAGAAGACACGTGACAGCTACATGTTTGACAACAACCAATACGTGACAGCTACATGTTTGACAACAACCAACACGTGACAGCTACATGTTTGACAACAACCAATACGTGACAGCTACATGTTTGACAACAACCAACACGTGACAGCTACATGTTTGACAACAACCAATACGTGACAGCTACATGTTTGACAACAGAAGACACGTGACAGCTACATGTTTAACAACAGAAGACACGTGACAGCTACATGTTTAACAACAGAAGACACGTGACAGCTACATGTTTGACAACAACCAATACGTGACAGCTACATGTTTGACAACAACCAACACGTGACAGCTACATGTATGACAACAACCAATACGTGACATCTACATGTTTGACAACAGAAGACACGTGACAGCTACATGTTTGACAACAGAAGACACGTGACAGCTACATGTTTGACAACAGAAGACACGTGACAGCTACATGTTTGACAACAACCAATACGTGACAGCTACATGTTTGACAACAACCAACACGTGACAGCTATATGTTTGACAACCAATACGTGACAGCTACATGTTTGACAACAACCAACACGTGACAGCTACATGTTTGACAACAACCAATACGTGACAGCTACATGTTTGACAACAGAAGACACGTGACAGCTACATGTTTAACAACAGAAGACACGTGACAGCTACATGTTTAACAACAGAAGACACGTGACAGCTACATGTTTGACAACAGAAGACACGTGACAGCTACATGTTTGACAACAGAAGACACGTGACAGCTACATGTTTGACAACAGAAGACACGTGACAGCTACATGTTTGACAACAACCAATACGTGACAGCTACATGTTTGACAACAACCAATACGTGACAGCTACATGTCTGACAACAGAAAAGTTGTGGCTTACTTTAAATGTCTATCTGGATCATAATCTGGGTAACACTTGTACGCTCCCGCGTACCCCGCTCGCGGCACTATTCTCATATTGTCCTCGAAGTAGAAGGGGCCATAACAGAAGCTCTTCTGTATCATTTCGGTGCTGGTTGCTTGATCGTCCATTTTTGGTTTAATCCTGCTTGGGGCATCCTCAGGTAATTCCCATTCTGTGGCAAAGCGATGCGGATCGGACAGTCTGACGCTTTTGTTCTCGGGCGGAACAGGGGTAAAGTTTTCTCCCCAAATCACGCACAAACCCCGCGTGTCTTTTGGCTCGTAGGTTCTAAAAGGAGCCGTTTTTCCCATTTCTCTAATCCCTTCATCGACGTCCGTACTTGGTGACTGCCAAACCATTGAACAAAATACATTTCATGATAAGAACTGTCACAGCGTATATAAATCTGCTAAACCATTGAACAAAATACATTTCATGATAAGAACTGTCACAGCGTATATAAATCTGCTAAACCATTGAACAAAATACATTTCATGATAAGAACTGTCACAGCGTATATAAATCTGCTAAACCATTGAACAAAATACATTTCATGATAAGAACTGTCACAGCGTATATAAATCTGCTAAACCATTGAACAAAATACATGTCATGATAAGAACTGTCACAGCGTATATAAATCTGCTAAACCATTGAACAAAATACATTTCATGATAAGAACTGTCACAGCGTATATAAATCTTGACTTAAACAAATGGCACAGTGTGTAGGCTGTAGACCTATACAGCTGTGATTGTTAACTCTGCCTTGAAAGGAGAGACGGTTAACCTATTTTTAGTCATTAAAATACACTGTTTGAAATAGTACTCGATATAAAAATGAGAGGAAACATAAGTAATAAAACTTACTACACTGAATCACAACTTCATTCTTTCGAAAGGTCAACGAAGGTAGTTTCCTCTTGTATTCATCCAATGTGCACCCCCCCCCCCAACACCTCATTCACTCAAGGTATATACACTCATTCTCTCACTCTAGTCTGTGAGCGATACGAAAAAAAAGCAGTGACGCCCTACGTAACTAACCTGTCCTCCGTCTGTAAACCCGTCACTAACCTGTCCCCCGTCACTAACCTGTCCCCCGTCACTAACCTGTCCCCCGTCACTAACCTGTCCCCCGTCACTAACCTGTCCCCCGTCACTAACCCCGTCACTAACCTGTCCCCCGTCACTAACCTGTCCCCCGTCACTAACCTGTCCCCCGTCACTAACCTGTCCCCCGTCACTAACCCCGTCACTAACCTGTCCCCCGTCACTAACCTGTCCCCCGTCACTAACCTGTCCCCCGTCACTAACCTGTCCACCGTCACTAACCCCGTCACTAACCTGTCCCCCGTCACTAACCTGTCCCCCGTCACTAACCCCGTCACTAACCTGTCCCCCGTCACTAACCTGTCCCCCGTCACTAACCCCGTCACTAACCTGTCCCCCGTCACTAACCTGTCCCCCGTCACTAACCCCGTCACTAACCTGTCCCCCGTCACTAACCTGTCCACCGTCACTAACCCCGTCACTAACCTGTCCCCCGTCACTAACCTGTCCCCCGTCACTAACCCCGTCACTAACCTGTCCCCCGTCACTAACCTGTCCCCCGTCACTAACCTGTCCCACGTCACTAACCTGTCCCACGTCACTAACCCCGTCACTAACCTGTCCCCCGTCACTAACCTGTCCCCCGTCACTAACCTGTCCACCGTCACTAACCTGTCCACCGTCACTAACCTGTCCCCCGTCACTAACCTGTCCCCCGTCACTAACCTGTCCACCGTCACTAACCTGTCCACCGTCACTAACCCCGTCACTAACCTGTCCCCCGTCACTAACCTGTCCCCCGTCACTAACCCCGTCACTAACCTGTCCCCCGTCACTAACCTGTCCCCCGTCACTAACCCCGTCACTAACCTGTCCCCCGTCACTAACCTGTCCCCCGTCACTAACCTGTCCCCCGTCACTAACCTGTCCACCGTCACTAACCTGTCCACCGTCACTAACCCCGTCACTAACCTGTCCCCCGTCACTAACCTGTCCCCCGTCACTAACCTGTCCCCCGTCACTAACCTGTCCCCCGTCACTAACCTGTCCCCCGTCACTAACCTGTCCCCCGTCACTAACCTGTCCCCCGTCACTAACCCCGTCACTAACCTGTCCCCCGTCACTAACCTGTCCACCGTCACTAACCTGTCCCCCGTCACTAACCCCGTCACTAACCTGTCCCCCGTCACTAACCTGTCCCCCGTCACTAACCTGTCCCCCGTCACTAACCTGTCCCCCGTCACTAACCCCGTCACTAACCTGTCCCCCGTCACTAACCTGTCCCCCGTCACTAACCTGTCCCCCGTCACTAACCTGTCCCCCGTCACTAACCTGTCCCCCGTCACTAACCTGTCCCCCGTCACTAACCTGTCCCCCGTCACTAACCTGTCCCCCGTCACTAACCTGTCCCCCGTCACTAACCTGTCCCCCGTCACTAACCTGTCCCCCGTCACTAACCTGTCCCACGTCACTAACCTGTCCACCGTCACTAACCCCGTCACTAACCTGTCCCCCGTCACTAACCTGTCCCCCGTCACTAACCTGTCCCCCGTCACTAACCTGTCCACCGTCACTAACCCCGTCACTAACCTGTCCCCCGTCACTAACCTGTCCCCCGTCACTAACCTGTCCCCCGTCACTAACCTGTCCCCCGTCACTAACCCCGTCACTAACCTGTCCCCCGTCACTAACCCCGTCACTAACCTGTCCCCCGTCACTAACCTGTCCCCCGTCACTAACCTGTCCCCCGTCACTAACCTGTCCCCCGTCACTAACCTGTCCCCCGTCACTAACCTGTCCCCCGTCACTAACCTGTCCCCCGTCACTAACCCCGTCACTAACCTGTCCCCCGTCACTAACCTGTCCCCCGTCACTAACCTGTCCCCCGTCACTAACCTGTCCCCCGTCACTAACCTGTCCCACGTCACTAACCCCGTCACTAACCTGTCCCCCGTCACTAACCTGTCCCCCGTCACTAACCTGTCCCCCGTCACTAACCTGTCCCACGTCACTAACCCCGTCACTAACCTGTCCCCCGTCACTAACCCCGTCACTAACCTGTCCCCCGTCACTAACCTGTCCCCCGTCACTAACCTGTCCACCGTCACTAACCCCGTCACTAACCTGTCCCCCGTCACTAACCTGTCCACCGTCACTAACCTGTCCCCCGTCACTAACCTGTCCACCGTCACTAACCTGTCCACCGTCACTAACCTGTCCCCCGTCACTAACCTGTCCCCCGTCACTAACCTGTCCCACGTCACTAACCCCGTCACTAACCTGTCCCCCGTCACTAACCCCGTCACTAACCTGTCCCCCGTCACTAACCTGTCCCCCGTCACTAACCTGTCCCCCGTCACTAACCCCGTCACTAACCCCGTCACTAACCTGTCCCCCGTCACTAACCCCGTCACTAACCTGTCCCCCGTCACTAACCTGTCCACCGTCACTAACCTGTCCCCCGTCACTAACCTGTCCACCGTCACTAACCTGTCCCCCGTCACTAACCCCGTCACTAACCCCGTCACTAACCCCGTCACTAACCTGTCCCACGTCACTAACCCCGTCACTAACCTGTCCCCCGTCACTAACCTGTCCCCCGTCACTAACCTGTCCCCCGTCACTAACCTGTCCCACGTCACTAACCCCGTCACTAACCTGTCCCCCGTCACTAACCCCGTCACTAACCTGTCCCCCGTCACTAACCTGTCCCCCGTCACTAACCTGTCCACCGTCACTAACCCCGTCACTAACCTGTCCCCCGTCACTAACCTGTCCACCGTCACTAACCTGTCCCCCGTCACTAACCTGTCCACCGTCACTAACCTGTCCACCGTCACTAACCTGTCCCCCGTCACTAACCTGTCCCCCGTCACTAACCTGTCCCACGTCACTAACCCCGTCACTAACCTGTCCCCCGTCACTAACCCCGTCACTAACCTGTCCCCCGTCACTAACCTGTCCCCCGTCACTAACCTGTCCCCCGTCACTAACCCCGTCACTAACCCCGTCACTAACCTGTCCCCCGTCACTAACCTGTCCACCGTCACTAACCTGTCCCCCGTCACTAACCCCGTCACTAACCCCGTCACTAACCCCGTCACTAACCTGTCCCCCGTCACTAACCTGTCCCCCGTCACTAACCCCGTCACTAACCTGTCCCCCGTCACTAACCTGTCCCACGTCACTAACCCCGTCACTAACCTGTCCCCCGTCACTAACCTGTCCACCGTCACTAACCTGTCCCACGTCACTAACCCCGTCACTAACCTGTCCCCCGTCACTAACCTGTCCACCGTCACTAACCCCGTCACTAACCTGTCCCCCGTCACTAACCTGTCCCCCGTCACTAACCTGTCCACCGTCACTAACCTGTCCACCGTCACTAACCTGTCCACCGTCACTAACCTGTCCCCCGTCACTAACCTGTCCACCGTCACTAACCCCGTCACTAACCTGTCCCCCGTCACTAACCTGTCCCCCGTCACTAACCTGTCCCCCGTCACTAACCTGTCCCCCGTCACTAACCTGTCCCCCGTCACTAACCTGTCCCCCGTCACTAACCTGTCCCCCGTCACTAACCCCGTCATTAACCTGTCCCCCGTCACTAACCCCGTCACTAACCTGTCCCCCGTCACTAACCTGTCCCCCGTCACTAACCTGTCCCCCGTCACTAACCCCGTCACTAACCCCGTCACTAACCCCGTCACTAACCCCGTCACTAACCTGTCCCCCGTCACTAACCCCGTCACTAACCTGTCCCCCGTCACTAACCTGTCCCCCGTCACTAACCCCGTCACTAACCCCGTCACTAACCTGTCCCCCGTCACTAACCTGTCCACCGTCACTAACCTGTCCCCCGTCACTAACCTGTCCCCCGTCACTAACCTGTCCCCCGTCACTAACCTGTCCCCCGTCACTAACCTGTCCCCCGTCACTAACCTGTCCCCCGTCACTAACCTGTCCCCCGTCACTAACCTGTCCCCCGTCACTAACCTGTCCACCGTCACTAACCCCGTCACTAACCTGTCCCCCGTCACTAACCTGTCCCCCGTCACTAACCTGTCCCACGTCACTAACCTGTCCACCGTCACTAACCCCGTCACTAACCTGTCCCACGTCACTAACCCCGTCACTAACCTGTCCCCCGTCACTAACCTGTCCCCCGTCACTAACCTGTCCCCCGTCACTAACCCCGTCACTAACCTGTCCCACGTCACTAACCCCGTCACTAACCCCGTCACTAACCTGTCCCCCGTCACTAACCTGTCCCCCGTCACTAACCCCGTCACTAA